TATGACCAGCTTGAGCAGGGCCTAGGCTAGCCCGACGTTCAACTGCAGCATCGCTAATGAACCGTCAATGCCAAACATATATATATAAATATATATATATATATATACATATATATATATATATATATATATATATATATATATAATATATGAAAAAGAGAAGTATGAGAGCGCCATTCCGGCCATATACAGGTGTCATAATCATAATATCTATTGCCTCAGCCCCAGTTATGGTGGGGCTGAGGTGGCCATAAAGACCCTCTATTTGTGAAAGTTGCTCCCCTGGCCCGTCTATTTCAAATCCCTGAACAGGCCACCAGGTTCTTGCTTTTTTAGTATTGTTACAATTTTGTAGTTATGTTTTGGACGATCTAGAGGTGATTAAGGTGTTTTAGGCGGCAAACCTTGGAGAAGAGCATTGCAAAACTCGAGCTATAGCTATGAAGACACTTTGAACTGATTAATTTCATTTACACAATAACTTCTAGAAGTGAAACTCTCCCCTGCCAACATTGCGGTTACTTCCTAGTTCAGGTTAAGGATAATGATCACTCACGAAAGTGAATGTATCTAATTGAGGTTGCCTATATAAACTTTAAAGTAATAAATATTTGTTGTTCATTTGTTTATATTTCTTCCATACTTAATGATCACTTTGATTATTATTATGCATAATAACATGTACAGTACAAACGAATATGATAAGACATTTTATTGTTGCTATTGAATAATGCTCATACAAAAAAAATAAATTAATTAAATAAATTACATTTATCATTACTTTGGTCTTGAAATGAGGAACTATAAAAGACTAAACACAGATCAGACAGGTTAATAATTTGTGCGACGGCGTGCCCCTAGGAATAATTATCTGTACAACGTAGTTTTGGGGACAATGCCGAATCCAGCTGAGAACAAAGTGCCTTGTATGCGCAGAGGATTTTTACTGACGTCATTACGTTCTAGCTTTTACCGTCATTAGTGCATTAGAAGTAGTGTTATTCAAGTATTTGTACAAAAGTAATCTATTCTATATTTAGTTGTATATCAGATATGCATTATTAAAGCTGTCCTTTAATAAAACAAAGTTGCTATTTATAGAAAACAGAAAGACTATTACAATCTTTAAATTAGACACCTTATTATTAATTATATACAATAATAATTTCATATTTAATATGATATATACAATTTCTAAATAATATAATAATAATAACAAACATTACGTTGACATTGATGATGTTTTATTTTATTACACCGGTTATATACATGTCTGGGAATTTCGACAATCTGTCTTTCTCGTGTGTGCGCAGGATTAAGTTCGGTTGCTTATTCCGGTGCCTTTACGGGCATATTTGTGATGAGCTGTTGAAAATTGGTGAGCAGTCATCGCGGCAGTGAGGGACACTTCGCCACCTAAGACCACACCCAGAATTACTTCAGCAAAAGCGTCTCGACTGCTCTCTTTTGGAAGTTGCAACATATCAAGGCAAGTCTAAAATAAAAAAAAGCACCAGTAAGTCAATCAATCAATCAATCAATCAATCAATCAAACAAACAATCAATCAACCGATGTATTTACATCAGCGGCAAACGAAAAAAGAATTAATTCAAATAAAAGATGTTCTGGTAAAGAATAAGTACTGTATGTTGTCTCTCGGCAGAAGTATGCTCGGTTCATTTTGTGTGTGACCATAGCTAACTGGTATACAGTGGGGGTCCAGAATTTCTCGATTTGGAAGGTGGGGTGGGGTAAGCTTTCCAACATAGATGTCAGTCTGGCAATTTAATTTTGAGGCCAGGGCCGGCCAGCGAATCTCCCTTTCAGTCCCATCTGGTACCGCTACTAAAGCTGTTTGCAAAAATCAGACACGTGCAGCAGGCTTGTGAAATGTATTACGGATATGTGTAAGTCTGTTCATGTTTATTTGACACACTGAGTCAGTATGAATAGTTTGCTACTCAAACTGCCATGAAATATATAAATCAATACTACACATTTTTCAATATTCTTGGTAGGAGGAAACAACAGTTGATGCAATGTATTTTACAAAGATGTTCAGGTGCTTTAGTGGGAAGAGTTTGAAATTATAGGGATGAAATACACTGTTTTCTTCAATAAAAATAAAAACGCCCTTTGATTGAGGGACATCAACAAAAACCAAAAATGAGGTGATTATATACAGTTACATAGGGTCTCCGACTAAGACCATGAAGTGGAATAATTCGACTATAATTAAGTGGTCAGGAAGTTTCTATTTGCATTATTGCTTACGGAAGCTTAAAGTGACACTCGGAGTGTCCTAGTTTTTAAGGTAATTCCAGTATCTTGGAAACATGGGATTAAGGACATTAAGACGGATTTTCGAGATCAACATATCTCGGGGAAAAAAAAGTGATTTATTCTATGTCTCCAAATAAATTATCTTGGAAAAAAACTCGGAAGGTCACTTTAAGCTTCAATAAGTGCTATTTTTTTAAGACGATTATAAAAATAACGTACTCACCTTCTGCGAGGGCAACGATGTGCCGCCCCCAACAGTTCCAATCATCAAAGATGGAATCGTAATGCAAAGCCGTAGATCGCCCTCTCGTGTTTTCCTCATTTCTGTGATGCCGACGTGAGATTCGGCGACACAAGCGGCGTCTTGTCCACATGCGATGAAAACGGCGGCCAACGCATTGGCAGTGTGGCAAGTTAATCCTGAAATTCGATAAAAAATAATAAATGTTTTACTGAAAATTCTAGTTTAAAAGAAATAGAATGAGAGGATCTAGGTCACGTGACTTACCAACACATCCTTGCATATGCTGACCCATCAATACGGATTGATTTAGTTCGCTTATATTGTCGACTGTGGAATTAAATAAGACGAAAAGTAACATTAATAATTTATGAAACATCATTTATTCATAATAGCAAAAGCTTAATGTAAACGAAAGTTAACAGTCAGAAGCCTTTTACTTCGGATAGCATTAGTCTTTTCTATCAGAACACCGTTAGTATTGTTATGTATCTACTTAATTATATATTTAATATATCTATTAATTATTATTACTATCCTCTATTACAGTTTCCCTCTCATATGATTCTCCTTGAAAGGTAATAAGATAATAGGCCTACATTGTATGCCTACCTGTTGTTTTCATAACTTGCTCTACAACTTCTTTAGGACACACAACTTCACCAGTAACGTAGACACCTCTGGTATCATTGAAGAACCCAGACGATGCTTTCTTGTCTTGGGAAGATGCCGCCTCTAGATACCATACTTTCGGCTGAATAGGCGCCTCGGGAAGTATATGTTGAATGGCTGCATTTGTTGCAAAAGTGCAAATATTCTGACCACTTGCGTTCCCAGATTCGTAGTACCATTTTGTAATAACCTTGTTGCCATGCAAATTCGCAGCTATTTTCATCAGCTTGCCATGGTTCGTTGTGGTTTCTGCAACTTGCTTCATAATAGGAAATAGGTCCGGACTGTTAAACCACTGGAGAAATTTGTACGCGTCCGGTAAATTTTGGAATACGAATTCTGGTGCTCTCTGAACGGTTTTCCTTAGTACAGCAGTATTTACACCGCCACTCTCATTTATAAGCTTACAGCCTCTTGAGTACGATGCCACTAAAGCTGATTCTGTTGTGGCCAGTGGAACAGCATACGGTCCATTGGCATGCATTCCATTTACATTAACATTCACCATCCCTATTGGCACCTTTACGGTTCCCACGAAGTTTTCAACGTTGCGTGTATATACGCTGTCATCGAGCATGTCATCCAATGGAGATAAATCTACAGTCTCCAAAGCGCTGGGATGGATGTATCGCTGTCTGTTTACTGTCGATGTGCTAGCAACACCGGCCGTTTTAGGCTGGCTCCTAAAATTTAAATGAAAGAAAATTATGCTAAGCTTAAAGAAATCGCAACAAATAAAGTGCGTTGATTAAATACATTTTAATTATATGCTTTAGTTAGTAACGAGACCGGAACAGCTATTGCATGATTCTGTATATTTTGACATAATATTATAT